TAGAGAGGCAGGACTAAGCTGAGGAGCGCACAGCTATAGCGAAGGAGTCAGTAAAAAGACACCAATTAATAAAATCCAAATAGAGGAGAGAAGCAGCGCATGACCTTGCGCTGGAGGCTCTCCCTAACCAGGCAAGCATGGACTCGGTCAAGTCCGCCTCGCTCGCCATGAACTCTATCATCTCCTCCGAGTCTGGGTCCTCCAGCCTGCGCCGGCCAAAACACCGCAAAGCTACTTAGACGACCAAACCTCGAAGAGAGAAACAGCTGGGGCTGAATTGGGAAAAAAATAGTGCCTTTTGTGAATTTTTACGGAGTCATCTTATAAAAGTCACACATAGAGCTGAGTTGGGCTGACTCGAAAAACTGAACTCAACCGAAACATAATCAAGATTGAAGCCTCTGTATGAATGGCAGTGGATCATCCTATACAGTTGTAGTACCTAAATCAAAGTTGATCTAAACTAAAGAAAAATCAATATCTGAACGAAACTGAATGGAAATCAAAATTGAAGCCTTTGTATGCATATCAATGGATCATCCTATATTGCTGCATTACCCGGCTCATGTGTCGAACTGCTGAGGCGGCCGTCGCAGCCAGAGTGTCCGGCACTGGCGTCCAGCTGCTGCGTCCAGATACTATTATCTATAAATGTGAGTGGTGGATCAACGCGACTATGGCCGAAGCGTCAATACCCGGAAAAAACACCTCTCCTATAAATAGTTTGTACAGAAGATTTAGTACGGAAAAAACATATTACAACAAGTTTTTGGTATATAACAGATCAATAGAACAAGACCTTTTCAAGTAGGTTTCTTTTGTTCCATAGTTTGCAATGTATCCCAGTACTCATTTTTTTTCTAATTCCTATTCTACATGGCACCATTTGTCAGAATAAATAGATGACATATGAGATTGGATTTGTTTACTGGTGCCGGTGCAGCACTTTCAAATAGAACAAGTCAATTTATCCCAAAAGAATATTCTACTATATGTGGAAGTATATAAGAAGAGCATATTGTCATTCAACATCAATACAAACAATGGAAGAATTCCATGGATCACAGTATCTATTTATTTGTAAGACTTAACAAATCAAACAATTAAGGAACCATCTTTTATTCAGGATGCCGTTAATTCCTCGACATCTTGGTAGGTCATGTTCTAATGAATCAAGAACAGACTATCATGCCCATCTTTCGTAAATTATATAGTGTACTGTCATGGTGGAATGAACAGATGCAGCATCCTATATTGCTGCATTACCCGGCTCATGTGTGGAACTGCTGAGGCGGCCGTCGCAGCCAGAGTGTCCGACACTGGCGTCCAGCTGCTGCGTCCAGATACTATTATCTATATATGTGAGTGGTGGATCAACGCGACTATGGCCGAAGCGTCAATACCCGGAAAAAACACCTCTCCTATAAATAGTTTGTACAGAAGATTTAGTACGGAAAAAACATATTACAACAAGTTTTTGGTATATAACAGATCAATAGAACAAGGCCTTTTCAAGTAGGTTTCTTTTGTTCCATAGTTTGCAATGTATCCCAGTACTCATTTTTTTCTAATTCCTATTCTACATGGCACCATTTGTCCGAATAAATAGATGACATATGAGATTGGATTTGTTTATTGGTGCCAGTGCAGCACTTTCAAATAGAACAAGTCAATTTATCCCAAAGGAATATTCTACTATATGTGGAAGTATATAAGAAGAGCATATTGTCATTCAACATCAATACAAACAATGGAAGAATTCCATGGATCACAGTATCTATTTATTTGTAAGACTTAACAAATCAAACAATTAAGGAACCATCTTTTATTCAGGATGCCGTTAATTCCTCGACATCTTGGTAGGTCATGTTCTAATGAATCAAGAACAGACTATCATGCCCATCTTCTTTCGTAAATTATATAGTGTACTGTCATGGTGGAATGAACAGATGCATAATATGTTAGTTCTTCAGAGTTAAAAGCAGAAGAAAAGCAACACGGTCGTGGGCATACACATGACAACAATCATAGCTTCCCAATAGATTGGAATTTATCAAGATTAAAGAACACCTGATTCAGTAGACCACTGAATCTATTCTTTACTCGCATCATTTTTCTTCTCAAATAGATCACTAAATTTACCACTGCATTTACCATTCTATCCTAACCAAAAATTAATATACTTGATGAAAAAAATGAACCGCTCGCTCATGCGATTTATTGAAAGCTCATCTCTAATGAAATGCAATTTGCAACATTTTCTGAAGTAGAAAAATTATTCACAGTCGTAACTGAATTCACCAACCCCAACCCCCAAATTTATAGGAAATAATAATGTAACTGGTAAAACAAATGTTTAAGGAGAAACATTGCAGAAATAATTTATACATGCTTGTAAAATCGAGAACTACCACAGCACAAACATGAGATGCACCTTCAGACCTGCTGCTACACATGTTGAGTCTGATTTTTTTTGTACCACAACACAAGACGAGCAGAGAGGGAGGAGGACGGACCTGAGTTGCTGGTGAAGTGACGAAGCTTGACAATGGCTGCACTTGCTCAACTTGTTCCCCCAGAGCCACGACTCGAAATTGCTCGTTACTGCAAGACAGAACAGGACACCGTCAAATTAACCATATCTTGTCCAACAGCAGCAGAACAGGATGGATCAGGACATCTCAACATCAAACATCCTGGACCATCATTTATAGCTGTGCTAATATAGCATGTTAATGAAACCGAAAATTTAATCAGCACCATCCCTTTTCCGCAAGCATTCAAAATAACAAGCCTACTGTTCAACATTTTCTCCAGTAAAATACAGGTTGCCAGGCAGGTCATACTAACTCCACGGGTTACAAAATATACAGGCAATCCAATAATATAAACATCAAGAAGAAATCCTTAACAGGAAAGCAAGAAGGAATCGACCGATCTGGGAAAATTCGAAGCAGCAGACCTTAACGAGGTTGAAGCAGCAGCCTACCCCTCGTGCTAATCATCGCCAACCCTCCCTGCACACAACCACCACCGTCACTCGGCCTGCTGCTGCTGCTGCTGTTACTAAAACAACAACAGCAGCAACCACCACCAATTAGCCTAGTAAATCCAAAAATCCAATTGTGATGAAAAAACATGTCCATATCATGTGACTGCTGCAAACTGGACCCTCTTTTTGATACGCACATGGCTGCTGCAATACAAGCACACACAAAAAAAGACATCTTGTAGTAGGAGTGAGTGAGGGTTGGAGCAGAGCATCTTCTCCATGGACCTCCTCTCTCTCCCACATGCCCTTGAATTCCTTGAAACAATACAAGCAGACATCAGATGTTGGAGATGAAGAAGAAGACAAGGGTACGGGAGGAGGGATTGGTACCTACCCTGGTCGAGGGGAGTTTCATCTCCATAGCATCCCACGGAGGGAGGCTCGACGATGGCGGGCGTCCTTGGAGGTTGAGGAAGAACCAGTCGTCCTCGAGCAGGACAAATTCATCCAGGAGACAGAGCTGCGCGTGGGGGCTGGGTAGGCGTCGGAGATGAACCGCCGGAGTCGCCGGAGTTGGAGGCGACCGAAGCCCTTGCCACAGGGGAGCGGCGAATCCAGCCGGATGGGTGGACGCAGCGGCGCGAGGCGAGCACAGGAGGAGTGTGATGCGCGCCGCCGGAATCGACCGGCCGAGCTCTAGATGGCGGCGGCGGAGAGAGAGTTGGGTGAGTGGGTGCGGGTGCGTGGAGAGGGCGGCGGCGGTTGTGTGGCGCCCGCAGAGGAGTGGAGGCCGGGCGGGGTTGGGGAGGGATGGAGGTGGGCGGCGGCGACGGCGGCGTGAGAAACCCTAGCGCGCGCCATGACTCGTGCGAGGAGAGAGAGGGAGCGGCTCGCTGGTCACAGCGTTTTTCTTTTGGACGGGAGATCGGGAGGGGTGTTTCGTGCGGGCTGGTTTTTTCGCAGTGCGTGTGTGTGGGTTGGGGAGTGGGAGGTGAGACGAAAATACACCGGACGAAAAAACCAGACGAAAATAGTGGGACTATTCAACCAACTCGTCCATTAAATTTAGAGATTTGGCTAGCCAAATGTTGGCATCACCAAATATTGACAACTTTATGTGAGATAGGCAAGACAACTTGTTACCCAACCAATGAGTAGCCAATATTCGGCACAATGTCAAACATTGGCATGCCAATTTTGGGCACCAAACCAATTATGCTCGTACACTCCTTCCGTCCGGAAATACGTGTTCAAGGAATGGATGTATCTAGATATGTATTTTAGTTTCAGATACATCCATTTGTATCCATTTCTGACACAAGTATTTCTGGACGAAGGGACTATATAATATTGTATTCCTTATAGCCTGCTTATGTCATTCTATCGTACTTGCTCGTAGTCGTATCCACAAAACCGAGTTGGCCGGAACGGTCCCAGTTGATTCTCCGGCTTGTGTCACAGTATTTACGTTAATTAATGTTCATTAATAATAATAATAAAGTAAAAAGACCGATTCTGCGTGCACCGACCTCGGCGACGCCACGCGCAGAAGTATAGTGGTGAGACTAGCCACAATAAGGAGTAACATATACTAGTAACATACACATATCCCTAGACCATGTTATTATCTTCATAGTGGGTAGTAATATAAGTGTGGTAACATGCAAAGATTCATTTATTAGGTTATAGACTCGTATTTGCATTGGGACATGCGATGCTACAGTAACTAGCTAAGTTACTGCAACTATCTCTTTAACTCATTGCCACATAAGCAAATTTGCTGAGTTGGACTCGATGGTCCTTCCTTCCTTCACCAAAACCAAACGCCTCCGCCCCCCTATCTATTTAACCCGGCCGTCCATCCTATCGCTCTCCCCCTTTCCCTTTCCCGTCGCCGCCGAATTCGCCGGAGCCAGCCGAGCGAACCAAGCCACATCCAACCCGCCAACCCCACCACCGGCCTATTTCTCTGCCCCTCCCCGCTCCCCCACCCGCGCCAGCGGCGGACATGGCGCGCCACGGCGGCGCCGCCCTGCTCCTGCTGCCGCTCCTCCTCGCCCTCGCCGGCTCCGTCGCGGGAGATGCGGTGGTCGCGCAGGACCAGCTGCCGCCGCGCCCACTCGTCATCCAGCTGCCCACGGAGGAGAAGCGGGCCGAGGAGGCTGCTGAAGCGGAGCTGCGGTGCGCGAGCTGGAGGCTGGCGGGGGAGGCCAACAACCTGGCGCCGTGGGCGGCCGTGCCGGAGGGCTGCGTGCCGCACGTGTGCGCATATCTCACCGGCCCCGCCTACCGCTCCGACCTCGACCTCGTCGCGCGCGAGGCCTCCGCATACGCCCGCTCCGCACGCGCCGCCGACGCCGCCTGGGTCTTCGACATCGACGAGACGCTGCTCTCCAACCTCCCCTACTACGCGCAGCACGGATACGGGTGAGCCATTTCCAAGACCGCCGGGCCGGGAAGCTCGATTCCTCGACTGAGATTTGCTCACGCTCGATGTTGGACTGCAGGCTGGAGCTGTTCGACCACCGCGAGTTCGACCGGTGGGTGGAGACGGGGGAGGCGCCGGCGATCCCCTCCAGCCTCCGCCTCTACAGGGAGGTGCGCGACCTGGGGTTCAAGACCTTCCTCCTCACCGGCCGCACCGAGGCCCACCAGGCCGTCACCGTCGACAACCTCAGGAGACAGGGCTTCCACGACTGGGACAAGCTCATACTCAGGTAGTACCCACAGCTGCTTCGCCGCCCCTCTTCTGCTGTTTATACCATTGCACATCACTTTCACCCTGCCTTGGTGGGGAACTTTGTTTCTAGGAATTTCATTGATCTACGCCCTGTTCCAAATATTTCATTATGTTGGACTGAATACTCTGTTCTAGCCGAGTATGCGTTTCAGATATGAATTTAGTTAGTACCGGAAACAAAATTGTATCCAGAGCACTGTAGTGTTTTGCCAACTAGTGTTCCTCATTTCTGCGTAATGGGATTCTGAAACGTGCCTTCTGTGATGATGTGCAGGGCAGCAGCTGACCGGGAGAAAACGGCGACGGCCTACAAGTCGGAGAAGAGGAAGGAGATGGAGGCGGAGGGGTACAAGATCCTGGGCAACTCCGGCGACCAGTGGAGCGACCTGCTGGGCTACTCCATGAGCGCCCGCTCCTTCAAGCTCCCCAACCCGATGTACTACGTCCCCTGACACAACAGAGCAGACATGATTGGTGGGCATAGTGTGAGAAATGCAGTGCTTATTTATCTGTTGCGTTCGTCATGCCGGCCCGATTGACTGAACCCTGTACTGACTGACTGAGTGTGCAAAACAAGACTGAGAATGGAATTGAGAAGGAAGAATTTATACCGTGCAAATTATTCGCTGACTTCATGTAGCATACTTGCATTGGACTTGTGAGCTTGATTGTGTAATGGATGAGATGCTAAATGCTGTTGCTCTGAAATGAAATGTTGACTTGATGGACACACTGTGCCAAAAAGGCGAGGAATCGACAGAATCTCTCCGTGAAATATCCTATGCTGTTAAGCAGGAAGATATCTCCTGAAATAATATCTTCTGGGCATAATCTACAAAAATCTAGCCTCCTCATCTCTGCTGAACAAACCAAAAGAAAAAAAGTGGTGTACATCTTCAGATCTTCTTACATTGTTGCAAGGAAGGAACCAGCTAACAGTAAAACTGCAGTGCTGCTCTGCGCACCTCTTTTTATTCTGTCAGCAGGATCTCGCATCTACCAACACTTGTGTAGGATCTCTGAGGTTTGAAGGAAGACTGCATCCAACACAGAAAGACACCTTTTTTTTTTCTGTCTACAGAAAGTAACAGCACCCAACACAAAGTTCAGAATGAATTCCCCCCAAAAGGGAGATTGATGTTTATGTTTTGAAGGGCAAGCCTAGATTAGAACGACAGCGTGACAAGATCGAAACTCGCTGGAGCTACCATGACACGCAAGGTTACCAAAAGTGTTGCCAAAGTCAGATGTTTATACTGATACTCTGTTTAGTCCTTGACTTTAAACTGAACCTCAAATTAAACAGGATCAACGGCCAGACAACACGCTGACATTGCACAATAAAAAAACAGATGCTGAATCTTATTGCTTGTAGAAAAAACATTGTGTGTGTCGCCGTGCTTCAGTTTCATTGGAAAAGAAAATTATATCTAGTAAGAATAACAGCACGGCGTGTCTCTGAAACTTTTGACGACCTTCTGGTTCAGATGGCTTATTACGAACTGCATCATGGTGTGTTTTTCAGCGTTGCAGGACCTGCAGAACCTGCTTCATGGAACTGCATCACCGTGTGTTTTCAGCGTTGCAGGACCTGCAGCACCTGCTTCATGGACGGCCGTGATGATGGGTTTGTGCCCGTGCAAATTAGCCCTAGCTTGAACACCAGTTGTACCTCACGCGAGTAGGCTGGATCTCGTATGTCTGCATCAATCACATTTGTCAATTGGATGCTCTCATCTTGATGAAATTGCCTCCATGCCCATTGCGCCAAATTCTCGTACCCGCCCCCACCATTTGCACGCCTCCCTGTTACCAGCTCCAAGAGAACAACCCCAAAGCTGTACACATCAACTTTCTCGTTCATTTTTCTCGAGCTTCCGAACTCTAGAAAATAAAAGATGTAAGTAGTTGTTCACACAGTTATAAACTTATAATACAGAGTTCAAAATAACTGAAGTTGTTACCTGGAGCTATGTATCCGAAGGACCCAACCACAGCCGAGACAGACTCTGGCTCGCCAGCTTTAAGTAGAGAGCGAGCTAGGCCAAAGTCCGCAATCTTTGCTTTGAACTGAGGACCCAGTAGGATGTTGCTGGACTTCACATCACGGTGTGCTATAGCAGGAGAGCAACTGTGGTGCATGTAACACAGCCCTCTTGCTGCATCGATTGCTATTGACATTCTTATCGGCCAGTTCAACAACCGTCTAGTTGTACTAGTAGGGTCATCTTTCTGATGCAGCCATTCATACAGGCTACCATGTTCCATGTATTCGTATATGAGGAGCTTCGATTCATAGCTTGATATGAAGCCAAGCAACTTTACGATATTGGCGTGTCGGATGGATCCAAGAATCTCAATCTCAGCTTGAAACTGCTTTTCCAGCACATCATGTTCCAGTTCACCACTACTAGACCATATTTTCTTGACAGCTATAACCCCGCCGTTTTTGTTACCAAGGCAGATCTTATATACCTTTCCTGAGCCACCGCTGCCGACAAGGTTTGTATCAATGAGGTTGCAAAGGATGTCTTGAATGTCATAATCAATAGCTTGGAAGGCCGTCAGTTTCCACTGTGGAGATGGGGCGTCGTCCTTTTCCTTTGAGAAAAATGCCTTGATCTTAGTTAAACCAATCAGCCCTGTGCATATGAGAATGGCTGAACCAAAGACGAGGAGAATAATTACAAGCATCTTCAAGTGCAATCTGGTGCATGGAGGAAGGTTTCCAAAGTGGTTGGAGGAACATAAGCTGGGATTGGAAAGAAAGCTCCATTGAAATCTTCCCATCTCGAAAGGAGATGGAATCTTGCCTGTGAGTTGGTTACTAGAGAGATTGAGGAAGATGAAGGGAAATTGTAACTGTACAAGGTTTTCTGGTATTGGGCCGGAGAGATGATTGTCGTCTAATAAAAGGAGGGACAGATTCTCGAGCTTACAGCAATCGCCTGGTATGCGACCTGATAGAGAGTTACTGTGTAGATCGAGGACCTCCATATTCTGCATTCTCCAAATCTCACTAGGTATTGTCCCGTTCAACGTGTTAGAAGACAAATTGAATATTCTAAGTTGGGTCAGCTTGGATAAAGTGTCTGGAATTTCACCAACTATGCTCATATTACTCATTGACAACTCTTCTAGGTTTGTCAAATTTCCAAAATGTGGATTGATTCTGTGTGAAGCAAAGGGATTGGAAGATAGTTTCAGAACTTGTAGGGATGAAAGCTGGCAGATTGAACTTGGAATACTACTGGATAAACTATTCGATTCAAGGTTAAGGTACACAATCGTTTTTGATAGTGCATGAATATTTAGTGGGAGACTACCAACAAAAGAATTGTATGAGAGGTCTAGAAACTCAAGGCTTGAGCAACTGAAAAGAACCACAGGGAAAGAACCTGGAATGTTGTTGTAAGAAAGGTCGATGTGTGTAAGGTTCTTGAAAAAGCAAATTTCTGACGGAATTGGCTTGGCAAGATTGTAGTTACTGAGTGAAATACGTGTAACAAAGCCCTCCCGGGTGCAACTGACGCCATCCCACTTACAGTGGTCTGTGTCCATGTTGTAGCTCCAGCTGATCATCAGCGGTTTGCCCCAGTAATTCTCAAGGCTTAGAAGTGCTTCCTTTTCAGCCTTCCTGCTCATGGCTTCACAGTTGTACCCGAGGAGCGAGCAAATGAGGAGGACTAGAGATAGCTTGTGGAGGATGGTACTGTGAACAAGGTGCGAATTTGCCATTTCTGCTAGTCTTATTTGAACTATTAAGCTACGGGAGACAACTTGTGGAGAAACGCGGTGTTCATTCATTTGGTGAATATTCACGCTGGCTTGATTGACCGTGTACTGACTGTGTGAAACAAAATTGAAAATGATATTGAGATGGAAGAATCTATACTGTACAAAGATTTACTAACTTCATGTAGCATGCATAAATTGGACTTGTGAGCTCGATTGTAATGGATTAGATGAGAAATGTTGTTACCTTAAAACCAAGTGTCATCATCAGATTCCTCGGGTGGGGTTCAAAGACTGCATCATCAGATTTTGAATAGACACTTCTCCTTGTGTAGGCATGTACAGCAAGTATCTTGTTCCAGAGGCAACAGTCTTTGAAGGGCAAAATCATGTTGGAGCTCCACCGCCGACCTCCGCAGCCTCTGCGCCATCGCCGTCTTCGCTGTGGCCGCCAACGCCTCCTCCACCGCGTCCGTGCTCGCCAACACCTCCGCCCCGCCTCCGCCCAGCGCGTCGCTCCAGCGTCGCCGGCCAAGCAGCGCGGCGGAGGCCATGAACCCGACGCCCAGCGCGCCTCTGCCCGAGGGGTGGGGGGCTGATTGCTTTTCTGTTTTAGATCAAGGGGTGTGTGTGTAAATTTTTTGCTCTTACAATCTGACCCCACTTGTCAGAAAGTGATCAAACGGGCCAGACCACCTCATCAGTGCTATTTGCAACAAGTTTACCGAATCTGCGGTGCGTTTTGCAAATAATTAGGGTGTCGGGGATATACCCCGCGGTGTTGAGTTTTTAAAGAGATCTTTTCTTTTTTGACGAAAATAGCAGGAGCTCTGCCTTTTGCGGCGATCGTACGAGACCGACGAGAGTTCATCCAAGGCCACGGCCTAATCCGTTCCACTGCTTTTCCACATGGTCACAGGCTTAAAGTTCCGAGAAAGATAGGTGTCTGTGGGCTACTCATCGATCAGCTAGCTGCCACCCTCGTGTACGTACCGTACGCGCACAAGAAGTTAATCCACGTCATCACACAAAGGACGGAGGCCGATCCTACTCAAGCATATCAACTCAAGTAGTACTATTTCCGATCACGTGCGGTGCAGATGTTTTACTACATCAAAGTGTTTCGTCCACCCGGCAATACTACCAAGTGTGCAGCTATGGGTATCCCGATCTGAAAAAAGAAAAAAAAGGGAGCGGGAGTCAGAGAAGGACGTGAAGGCCCTGCCGTCTCCGCCTCGTTGTGGCCCCCGCCTTCCGCTCGGCCTCAACCTGCTGGACTCCGCTTCCGTCATCGTTTTCAATCAAAGCCGCCGAATCCCCCCGAGCCACCGTAAACCGGCGCGGCCTTGAATCGGGTCCTGCCGCCTCCCCAATGGTGAGTCAACGCCAAGCCACGCTTGGTTTCGCTCCAAACCGTCACCGGGCATCGCTGCTGCGACCGCGACTCCGCCTAGCCGATGAACCGGATTCCAACTACAGAGCTGCCGTGTTCATCTTTAAGCCGCCCGATTCCGGGCTCCGCCACGGTCAGGCTTTAAGCCATCATCTCCGAGCCGTCGCCACTGGGACCTTGTGCTAAGCCACCTTTGGCTGGCCTTATTCTGAGCCATCGATGTGAGCTGCCGCGGTCTCGAGGGGGTGGCTAAATTGCTGTTGAATCTACTGGAGATTATTCATGAACATTGAATACGGATCATCCGTCGTGTGCATGAATCAG